GCCTGGCCAGCTACATGCATATCCAACCCGGTCATCTTCCTTAGATGGAGATGTTTAAATCTCACAGCTGAGATCTCTTGCAATAATTGAGTTAAAAGAAGTCTGAAAGGTATTACACGGGCATAAAAAAATCCAAAATTATGAAAAGAAGGAGAATGCTTGCTTGAGGCAGAGATTGTGTGTTAAATAACTTTTTAGTGCTGAAATACCTTGAGAGAAAACTCTAGTTACACTCTGATTGCAAATACTCATCTAGCTGATAGCTCCAATTAAGTAAAATCTAAAACAAAACAAAAACCAACATCTATAACACTTAAGGAAAAAGAAGAAAATATTAACTAAATGTATGTTAACTAGGGATAAATAAAGTCCATTCTTCTACCTATAGTCCGACCTCCCTTATATCTACTTCTGTCATCCACCTGCGTTTGTTACAAGATGGTGCTCATTTATCTCTTTCCTTTGCCTTCTTTATCTATATAGTCTGATAATAAAATATTTGAGAGGTATCCATCATCCTATACATTATTTATTGAGATTAAAGTTAAGGCAGTATTTAGAAATTATGACAATTATTTTTAGGAAATACTATTAGCAGGGAGTGAGAGGGTGAAAAGTTCTGTAATTCCTTTAAAATGTGACTCAACCAAGATCTCACATCTTTGGCATTGTCCTGGTTGACTTCCATTTAAAAATGGGTTTTGCCCTAATTTGTTTTCCAAGGAGTGAAATAAACGTGTTTATAGAAGAAAAATTCTTTTGTAAATTAGATGTGTGAGGATGATCCTGTATACAGGAGGGAAGTAAACTCTCAGCCTGGTGGCATGTCCCAGACACTACCCTGTATGTCACTAACCTGGCCTTACCCCGTGATTCTGTCATATCATCCATAAAGTATTACCTGTATATATATGGTGGGGCAACAGGGAATGTAAAGAAAGTCACTGGAAGGGCATTACTTGTCATTAAAACTGATCCCAGGGTGCGGGGGTTAGGGGCATAATGATGGTGGTGGAATCCAACCATATGGGTATCATGCAGCAGGAGCATTTTTTTATTTTTTAGATCGTTGGAGAGAATTCTGGTTTCTTTAGTTTTAATAATCACAGTCAACAAGGAGACACTTGGGAAAATGCATCTCAGAAAAGTGTTTAGTTTCGTCCTGATGTAAATGAAAAGAGGAACCCTGATTCATCAAGGAACACTCATAACACAGCTCCTTCTCCTTCGCCACTTCTTCACGCTGCTCCCCTGACCTTCTCTACCCCTCTCGCTCCCCTCTCTGCTGGCTTCTTATTTCCAGTCCCCTCTTTTGCTCTCCTTTCTCCTCTAACCTCTTCTTTCCTGTCTCGCCATTCCTTCTGGCTTTCCCCTTCACCCTTTCCACAGCCTTGATGTTCTTCTATACTGCCCATGTTTTAAGCAAGCACCTTTCAAACACATTCCCCAGCCTCTTTGCAAGAAGGAAGCAGACCTCCACACCAATTCCACAATTCATGACAATTTTGGTTTGTATTTGTTGGCTACTGGTTATTTCAATTCAAGTTCGTGCAAACCTTGAAATTTGAAAGGTTTCTTCATTTACTTTGTACTTAAACTATGAACAAAGTCAACTGATTTTTCTCTTTACGTTCCTGAATAGAGTACATTAAATCATTATAATTCTACACATTCTATTCCTTTTATCTCTTCTATCTCAAACAAAAAGTCCCTTCCGGGATATCTCTTTTATATGTTATCCTTTTATTTTCGTTTTCTCAGCATTGCTCTTAGCCTTGAAAGGGTAGCCTTTTAAAAGTGTTATAATGTCTGTAAACTGGTTGCTGTCCTCTAGATGCACCAGTTTAAATACTTTGTTTCTTAGACGTTGGACCCAGTGTGTATATCTCCAGAGCAGCGCCACCCTTCTAGTGCGGTGTGTGCTTCTGCAAAACAATGAATCTGCACACACAAGAGTTTCTTACATTCGTCTCAAGTCTTAGCTTGTCACATTTTTATATTTTCTGAGGGCATTCGGAACAAAATATCCCTGCCTTCTGCAAAATGTTATTTTTATAAGACCAGACTTTTGCAAGAGTAGATGATCTCAGCCGTGATCATAAACCTACTAAGAGGAGTTTACCTCCCGATAAACCAATGACAGTCTTTCAAGCATTTCCTATACATGGTCTTTGCATCTGAAAGCAAACGGGAAGTTTTTTGTTTTGCTTTTCCCTAAGGTCCATTTTTGCAATGGAGAGCTGCTGGAATGTATGTCATTCTTAACCTACCAGAAATCTGTGGTAAAGAAATGAAATGAAATGATTCTGCAGAGAAATATGTGTTACATCATTTCAGTTCATAGCATCCAGAAATAATGGCATTAACATTTTTCTCTAATTCTGTAGCTGATTATGGTTTTTTTTTAAAATCTACAACCAATATTTAATATTTTAAAGAGTAGTTTTCAAAACACAGACATTCTCAAAATGTATTTTAAAATTTTAATAACTCTGGAGATATATGTATTAAACAGATAACATCAAACCCCTTAAGGCTAAAAAATACACTCCAGAAAAATTATAAAAATTAATTAGTCATTATTATTGAAGTTTTCTTCAGTCTCATATCCATCAGACTGAATTGTAATACAGTTCAGGATGATACATAAAATAGAAGTAGAGGAACATGTTTGAGTACTTTTAAATTTTTTAATGTTTCTTATATCCTTAAAAATCATTGTTTCCAGGAACCATAAATATTGGAAAAATCATCTTTAGTAAAGATGAAACGACATTCATTCTTTTCAGTTGTCCCGAGTCCCTGAATTTGCTATTACCATAGCATATTTTACCCGTTTGAATTAAGAAGAACATACCTTGACTATTTTTGGCCAACTACCAATTTCTCTTTCTTAAATACATGTCTGTTTTTGTTATTTTGAGGGATTAAATAGGTAATAAAGATTAATTATACCGAAATAATAATGTTGCATTATGAATTAATATGGTTATTTCTGCTCATAGAAGGGGAGTGTGAGAGTGTGTGTGTGTAAAATTCTTTAACAAATGGAAAACTTTGTATAGAGCTTAGAAAGAATATACATATTCACATGTAAAAATAGTAAATGGATTTCTTAAACTAGAATAATGACCAAGTTTTCTAGATGTGTTATAAATTTCTGCTGATTGTGTAAGGGTTCACGCACAGGGTAGGAAGGAGATCAGATGCCTATCAGAAGATCTTGCTTTTTAAAAGTGATGTCACTATCCTGACTGTTTCTTCTTTTTGGGTATTCCTCCCCTACCTGCAGTCTTTCTTATTGGTTTCCAATTTTAAGAATCAGGAACAGTTTTCCTGAAACCAATTCAGATGCTTAGATATACACAGACATTATATTAATACATTATATATCCCATTATGTATTCTATTTTGTGAGCATACATTTTGTACTCTTAAGATTTTTTTCCTAAGAACATAGTAAGAGCCCTGGCTGGTTTGGCTCAGTGGTGAGAGCATCAGCCCGCAGTTCAGAGAGACAGGGGTTTGGTTCCCGCTAAGGGCACGTAACTTGGTTGCAGTTTGTCTCTGGCCCTGGTTGGGGTCGGGCGGGCAGCAGCCACTTGATGTGTCCCTTTCACGTCGATGTTTCTCTCTCTCTCTCTCTCTCTCTCTCTCTTCCTCTCACTCTAACTGAACAAAAATGGAAAAAAGTCCTTGGGTGAGGATAAAAAAATAAATAAAAGAACATAGTAAGGAAAATTGGGTGGAATACAAACGCCAAGGAATGTGTATAGCATGTCCTAGAATTAATGTGTGAAATTGTTAAGAAAGGACATGTGGCAAGCCTTTTGAGTATATTTGACTCGTGCCTTTGACAAAGCAGTTTCTCTTCAACCTCTGAGACTCTAACGGCATTTAGCAGCCTCAAAACAGACCCATGAACCACATCCGGGTAATGACATTACCCAAAGTATAAAAAAAATTAACTCCAAAATCCATGTTGCCCTTCAGTTTTAAAATCACATCTTGAACTCTTAAGCTTCGTATTGTTTGCATATCTTTGCTGTCTAAATGGAAAAGAGATGACTCTAATATTGCCATTTAATTGTAATTTCAATATTGTTAATAAATAGTTTCCACAACTTCTTTGGAGAAGGTGCAGAGCGAGCAGTGGTCGGGAATCCTAGATTCTGTCCTCGGTTTTCTGTGTGATTTTGGCTGTTAACTTATTTCCTTGCTTCATTTGTTTCACTCTGAGATCAATATTTTGTTTGGGCTTCATTAGTCTTTGTTTAACAAAATAAGATATGTTGATTATCTTATTCAAGGGTTATTCAAGTAAGTGTGTAGTATCTAACACTATTTACGTTTTTTATTATAAATATTGCATTATTCGGTGCTCTCTCCTTCCTGAGCAGCAATGTATTAGTATAAGCAAGTAATTGTAATTGGTTATAATTAAAATTTATTAGTATACCCAATTAACAATACCAATATAAAGAAAAATACATTTTTTTTCTACTTCAGAAAATAAGGTTTTAAGTTTGAATGCATGGTTTATTAAAAAACACTACCATCTATCTTATTCACCTTTCATCTCAGAGGTGGAGGTCACCAAATGCAAAATAGTGGATCAATCAATAACGTTCTGAAAGAAACATTTAGAGCAGTGGATTCAGAGGTATCCTACTTGAGTTCGGGGCACGCGCAGCAAAGCCGAACGAGAGAGATGTACTCTTTAGCCTGGAAGGAAGAATATCACCCCCACTTTTCTCTGTCCAGTAAAGTAACGTACCTTGCATGTCACTATAAGTTTGTATCTGCCTTTTACTGCATAAGGATATGTACATGGAATGACCATGGTAAATCCAATTAATTTGAGCAATCTATTAAAAATAGGCTTCATCATTAAACTACATGCTGCCATTTTTATGACTTTACCATTTAGAGGGGAAGCCAGGCTTTCATAGTAAGAGTTTAATTTTGTTCCTTAAAATAAAAACAAGAATGTGACCCACCTCCCAATCCCGGTCTTAGGCGATTGTCATAACCATCCAGGAGTCGGTCCAAAATGCGGGTGAAGACTGTGGTATTGTCTTTAAGTTCATCTTGTAGGGAGGTTTGTCCATAGCTAGGAAAAGCACAACGCAAGGTGGTCACTAAATTATACATTTCCACGAAAACCTTTTCGCAGATCGATCCCTCTCCAGATTTTCCTACCTTCCTCCATTGAATCTGAATGTGAAAATTCCTTCTGGTAAAGTAAAAACAAAATATGTCATATTTTAATTCCTACCATTTTCTCATACTCGTTCTCATGGGTAATAAGCTGTTTATTCTAATATTTCTAACTATGGAAGGAAAATTACCAGGATATGAGTTCTTGCTCTTTACATTTGTAATTCTCAGCATGTACACAATGCTCTAATGCATTTTTTTTCTGGGCAAGCTAGAATGTTAATGCATGCTAGAAAAAAAATCTGGAAGACTTCTTCCAAATAAAAATATATATATATTTATGAGCTACAGAAATAATGAATAGTTTTATTTTCGTTTAATTTAACACATAGCATAAGCCTAAAATTTCACCTCCTAACAATCCCGTTCTTTATCTACTTCATATACATATATATGGGTTTTGCTTATTTGATGTTCTTTTAAGATATTAAGTGAGAAAAGTAGATAAAACTTGTTTCTTAGTATAATTACATTTTACATCATTGTGTAGTTTTTCTTAAGGAAAACCTTAAGGTTTGTGAACCTATTTTGATAATGTTATCATTTGTTTATTCAAACCTCTAATTAATTGAATTTTTGTCATTTCTGGTCTTAGAAGTAAAAAATACCTTGAAAAAGATATGATCTAATATTCTTAATTTATGATTTGCTAAACTACAGTGCAGGGTTAGTATTTTGTTTAAGAAAACACAGCTAGTTGTGAGCAGAGCTTGAAATGGAACCCAGGTTTCTTCAGATTTTAGTCTAAAACTTTATTTACCTTCTTCTATATTGGAAAATTGTTTATACTTAAATTTTTATAGTTGAAGGTGTAGTTATGATTCTTTATCATGACCAGTCACTGAGTTTCAAACACGTAGTGACTGCAGTTCAAATAGTGTATATTTCCTACATCAATCGCATCATTATCTGTGCTCCTGGAATTATGTTTTATGTAATGATTAGGATGACACCTGCAAAATCCTGGGGGAGAAAAGTCTTCTATTTTAGGATGGATCACACTCCCCGACACATTTCAGTGACAGCTCTGACCTTGAGTAAAAAAATGTGAATTGGAGTATAAACTAAGAAACTGCTACAAAATATCACTTGCATACTTTATGTTTAATATGCGTTGGCTCCACTCTTGTGTGTTAATATTAGTGATCAAACTAAGAAAAATGAAACCAGGATTCACTTATTTCACAGGAGCAAGCTATCTAACCAAAACATCATTTCAAAACCAAAAACTATTGTTTAGTCAATTAATTTTATATCAGCAAAATGTAGTGGCCATTTTTTCTCATAATTTTAATTTGATAAAGTTATAAGTAAAAGCTATTGATGATATTAAATATCTGAAAGGTACCTCTATTAAATGATTTTTTGATCTCCTGAATTCAGCATCAGTATCATGCAGATTGAATGTTTACTCTCCTTTGGCAAAATTAAACATCTTACTAGCTTTTGCAATCAGATTTTTAATGAGCTCTGTTGTCTTCCACCCTGTCTCATTCGTAGATGACAGCACTAAAGCAAAAATAGTTGTCTGAGTGCAATTGTTTACAAAAACTCTGTCACAAAACCAACTGTCAGGCATGCATCTTTCAAGGATATCGGAAGGTCATCTTGATAAAGATGGAAAAGAAATGTTAGCACACCTTAAGTGGTAAGGAGAGCCAGAGCAAGTAGTTTAAGGAAGAAAGCAATAAAATAAGAAGTGGGGGGAGAAGAAATGGGTGGCATAACAGAGCACGATGAAATTGTTAATATGATTATGAGAATATGGAGTTATCTGTTACTTTTACCTCTATTCCCTTGTTTTTGCAGTGTAGGTGCGGTTCAGGAAATGCTCCCCCCACCCCCCTGGTTTTAGCCTATAAATATTGTAGTCACCAATTGTTTGCATTGGAATACAAATACCATAAGACATATATCCCCTCCCAGAAAACCAGTTCTGTTATCCCCATTGGAATAGTAACCTTTTTTTTCTTTTAAATGTGATTTTCTAATCAGATATACTTTATCTTTACTTCTAATTTACTATGCTCAATTGTACTTTTCAGAGAATAATCCTAGGATAAAAATGTATTCTCTATTAAACACTCATACCAATGTAATGTTTCCTAAACTAAATATATAATTTGAAGAAAAATGTCAGTTACAGTACCTGATTTTGGTCCCCTATGAGCCACTATATAATAAAACACTGTGCACTACCTCCATCTACAGGTCATTACAAGAGTAACACTTGATATAATTTTCCAAAAGCAGTGAAGAACATTTAACTCCCCAGATTAAGAGTGTCTGGCAGGAAAGCCTTTTCTGTTCATCTGGTAGTCATTATTTACCGCACACGATAGCAAAACAAAAACAACTTCTCAGTTTTAAAAAAGCCTCCTACGTTCATATCTTCCCATGCTAGTTTCTCTCTTTGCCTTACCCATAGGCTTCACTCTCTATTACATTTTGAAGAATCTTAGATTTTTTAATATATCTAGGACTTTCTGATGGGCCATAGGAGTAGGCTACACAAGAAATACAAAAGTAGATAAAGAAGAATCTGAAATATTTGGTCGTTTATGTCATTGCTACTATAATATCTTTATACGTCAATTTGGTCATTAGCAAATATTTTGAACATGGTTAAGCATATTATTAAATTTTTCTCATAACTTGTCCCCATGGTAATTATGCTTAAATTATGAATTTCAATTTTATCTAATATTCTTAAATATTTTTCTGGCATAATTTACCTCTTCTGGCTATATAAATAATGTTTTCAAAACATGGTATGTACATGCTTTGACAGAGACTTATGACTTTCAAATTACAAATATTACTTTCAACTTTTAACTTCCATATAGCCCTAAGTTTCTCTATGATTTTTCAATTGACCAAATCTTTTCTTGTGGAAAAATCAATTCACATGGTATGCAGACTTTAATTAGGATAACTTTCCTATGAATTAGGAAACCGCAGGTTTTTTTTTCCAGAACAAATGAACTGTGAAAAAAGTTCCCTTTAAGACAAATGTGGAATTAATACACTCCTCAATAAAAGTGTGTTAAGTGTGTTCTAACTACCATACACACGAGATGATTATTTTTTCATACTGCTCTTCTTACTCTTAGCTGGTATTTTATTGCAGTTAAGTTTTTGGAATTCCCTTAGTCATGAATTCATCCAAGGGCAATTTTCTTCCCACTGAAAGAAGAAATGAAAAGTTACAGACATGCTCATGCAGATTTAAAATAAAGTGTCCCCACCTTCTTCCAGTCAACGTGCTGAGAAGGAGGGTCCAGGCCCAGAGACAGTCAGAGAGACCCAGGCTTTTCTTCCTCATCGCGGGCTGTGCAGCTGAAAAGTAGAAGAAGTAGGGATCAATGTCTCTTGTAAGAAACACCAGGTTATAACCACTAGGGCTGACTGAGGCAGTTCAGATGAAGCCTTTGAAGTCAGGAAATGACCTCACTGGGATATGACACCTCATTGGAAGCAATGGAAACCTGGACCATCCATTCTCCACTTTCCCTTCTATTTCTTCATTCAGAAATATATCAGTATCTTAATTTCTCCTGTAAAAGAATACAAGTTGAAATGCTTTCAGGTGACAGTATTGCTCAACATAAAAACTGTGAGTTTTGTTTTGTTTTTTCTCTAGGTATTATATTTCCAATACAGTCTGCATGACTCTCGCTTTTTATCATCTGAAAAATTTGACCTTTCTCATTTGAGTTCCCGCAACTGAACTGTGCTTTGAAATTTTTGAGCTGAGAGAGCGCGTTTGGGGGCTGGAATGGGGAAGGTTAACATGCTTTGAAGCCTGAATTCTTCTTTGCATTCTGGATGCACCTTGATTTCAGAAGCCACTGTACTTATCTTTTAAAGAAGAAAAAAAGAAAACACACTGTTGAATGTCAAAGTCGTGCTTATATTTTCTGCCTGTGATTGCCTTGTTAAATATGCTCAGTAACGCTTCTGTGAGGCTAAAGGACATACTTTATAGTCAAGCCATGTGCTGATCTCTCTCGCACACACATACCACACTCACACCAATGCACACAAACATGCCCACACATATCTTTCAAGCCCTCTCCAATTCTGCCAGGTTGCTGCTAGAAAATGTTTCATCTCAAACAGATGGAAGCTGAGTTCCTTGCCTTGCATAAATAAGGGACTCTTTTTTCTCTCTTAGGTAAAGTGTAATCAATCATCATCTGATTGTTGAATCGAGACTTGGTAGTGGGATGCTGGAGAACTGGAGTATGGAGAGCTTACAGAATTTTTAAAAATTACAGTCGGTTTGTGGAGTCAATTTTTAAAAATCACTGCACTGCCTAGTTAAAGAGCAGCTATGGCAACATTTTATTTAATGTGCTATCATTCATTCCAGTCTTTATATGAGAAATGTTCAAGGTATTGGTTAGCACTTCCCCAAGTCTCTAGCAAGTCTTCTAAAACAGATTTTTCATTAAGCACTCTATAGTCTAATGCATTATATGCCTTTAAATACATCTAACAACGCTTTTCCTCACTCTCTGGGGTCATTTATATCAGTAAAAACCATTACACACAAGCATGTAAGCAATGAAACATAATGTGTTTAGAGTGAAATGGTCTAGAGATAAGAACTGTGAGCTGCATAGTTTTTACTTAATTTAGTGTCTGGCTCTGACACAGAGGGGTTGCATATGACAGAAAATATTTGATAAATAATATTATGTTAAAATATTGCATCTCAGTGGCATGGTGGTAATTCACCCTTTGATTAATCTTTGACATCTGCTGTGAAGGAAAAATAACTTCTCTTACCCTATTAATATTTGTTGGTTTTTATATTTTTAAAAAAAATTCCTGAAAGGGTAAGTGAAACAGAACAAAATCCCAAGGCAGGGTGCCACAGCTTTTAGTCCTCTGACATTTTAAAATGAGAAAAACAAACCTACCATGGCACTTGAGTTGTTGAGTGAGAAAGTTTCTTGCAAATACAAACATCATAGTTTAAAAGGAACACTGAGCTGCCTGCTTACCCCTTTCCACCGTCAACCTCCCCCCACCAAGCACACACTCCAAATGTCCATCTCCCTCGCCATCCATATCGAATGATAAGTTGAGTTTTTGGTGTTCGGAATAGGAGAGACCCCCTACACCAGAGGGCATTTCAGCAGCAGCCACTGAAAAGGAGAAAAGCATTTTTGCAGCCAAAATGAGAGCATGCCTTCCCTGGGCTGGAACAGCGAGCAGGTTTTCCGTCCCAGCCTTCTTAACTTTCAGCTGTGCCCACCAACGCCCCTCCCCACCGCATCCCAGCTCCCTTTGGGGAAAAAAAGAAAAAAAAGAAAAAGACTAAAAACAACAGGTCACCACCCACCCCAGCCGGGCGGAATACATTCCAATCTGCTTAAGAAGGGGGAAAGCCAAGAAGAGAGACGGGGTAAAAAAATAATGCTCCTATATCGCTGCGGTTTTCAGCCCCAAAGAAAAACATTCGTTGTTTCTACCTGCTGTGGGATCAGGCTGCGTCCTATTCCCCCTGTCTCCCGTCTCTACAGCCTTGCAGCCTCTCCAGCTAGGAAAAGCCACGTTCCAAGCTGTGTGTGTTGCGGTCAGAAGCAGCACTTACCTCAGGCCCCCTCTGGGCACAGGATCGGTCCAGACCCGGGAAAAGTGTGCGAGAGCGAGAGCCGTGCAGAGCCCGGCGCCAGCTGGAGTCCGCGCGCGTCCGCGCTCCCAGCGAGAGGGGCGTCCTCGCCAGCCTCTCACTCACTCGGTCTGAGCCATCATGGACTCTGCGTGCTCCTCTGCCGAGGGTTTCACACCCCAATTTGCTCCCCCAAATCCAATCCGCGGCTATACAACAAAAGATTTCTCTTTACCAAGACAGTAGTAATACGTCCCAGGGCAAACCGGATGTGAAATAGGCGGTGACTTCATGCCAGAGAGATTTTATTTTAGAAAGGAAGGTGGTACCAGCCTCTGGATCTGGAGACCAATCCGCCCATTTTTTTTTTTTTTTTTTTTTTTATATGCAGCACAATTTAACTTGCACCGCCCTGGCCCTAATCCCCTTCTCTCTGGCTGCAGACTCAAATCCTTCTACAATCTGCTGCCAGCGGTCCCCTTTAGGGGGGACTGCAAATGGGGGAGGGAAGGGGAGAAAGGGGTAGAGAATCTAGGACCGACACTCGGAATTTTCTCAGACTTTCAATTGAGGAGCATGCTATTTTAAGGTGTGCCCATGCAAAATAACACTGATGAGTGCAACCGCTCTGCCTTTGATCACGTCTTTAACCACTGCCTGCACATGAATGAATGCACGCTGTGGAGCTGGGCGAGGGTTACACATGTGGGCAGCGCGCTCCCCTCTCGTCCATCTCCCTCGCACGCACTCCCACACACATGGCCCAGTCCCCGTGCCTTGCAGAGTCACGGGTGACGAGGAATGAATGGCAGGAGCGAGCTCTGGCCCGTAGGGAACCGGTTACCGGGCTTGGAGAGGCTTTCGCACTTGCACTGGCTGTGAGCGCTTCCCACCCCGCCTTAATCTGTGGCTTGGAGGACAGCGAGAACACGCGGGTGGATCCGGGCTTTTAACCTTTGGGTGCAAGTGTCTGTGTGTTTATGTTCTGATGGAGGAAGCAAGGCTCTTTAAATCCCAGCTGTGCTGGGTTCCTAGGATGAGGAGTATTTAACTTTAAATCAATCGCTCAGATCATTTCTAGGTTTGAGACTCCTATCTCCATTTCCGGAATCATTCCTTTGCCTGGAACCCCATCCTTCTTCGGATTATGAAAACGGGAGATGGGGAGGAGAGAGGAATACAAAGGTTTGTAGAAGTCAAGACCAAACCTTCTTCTGCTTTCTACCTCTGCCCTCTTCTGTTACCCTCCCTGGTGGCTCTCCACCCACGAATAATTATACATGTAGGGAAGGAGGGTGTGTTTTAGTATCAGTCTAACTCAATTTGCAAGTAATCAGGGACGACTGTAGTTCTCCCCTTGGGTTTTGTGAATGGGTGTTTGTAGCAGAGATGGGTGCTCTTTCTGGGATCTTACCAAACTGACCTACCGCGCTGGGAGCTGTTCCTTCAGCACTCTTGCCCAGACGAGGTAGGAGGAGCGGGAAAGATGGGTGATTCCCAAGTGATGATTCTGGTAAAGAAAGTCCAAACTTTCAACTTCGGTGAGCTCCTAGCCATTTTCCCCAGAAGGACTCTAACAGAGGAGATATTTCTGATAAGGGTAGGCTTCTCTAGGCAAAGGAAAAACCAGCCCATACCACTCATAGGTTTTGATTCTACAAATGTTCCTTGACTTTGTACTGCAATACATGATTAAAACTTAAGACAGGTGATTGCATGATAAGGAATATAACATTGAAGTCCACATTCACACTTGGGTTTGGTTATCTTCTGAGCTTTGAAAGGGAAATATTACCGGGAAATTATTTCAGAAATAAATCTTCAAGGAAGGGAGATTTGAAGACCAACTTATAATACCTCTGTTTCTGGGCAGAAGTTGCCTCCTCTGTTCAGACTCAACAAATGTTAATATATTCTTAAAGATATCTATTGAAGAAACATCATAGCTTCTCTAAGTGACATGACCCAGTTTCTGTTTAGTTTGCTTATCCACTAATTCTGTTGTTTATTGAGCAGTTCTGAGAATAACATTCACTCTAGTAAGGTTTTGAAACCCTAGATAACAATTAGAAAACATTGTTGTTGTTGTTTTTACCTGACAATATATAATGCAATTCCATAGTTTTGTTTTGACTCAACGAAGACTGATAGTCCTAAAAATGTGATCTTTTTGGTTGAAATGTCACAGTTACTCTTCTCTACAAATTAAGAATAAGTTTATTTCCTATGCCTAATAAATACAACCAAATCACTTTACTGATTATGTTTTTTGAGCACAGTCACTGAAATTTTATCATTTGAACAGTATTGTCTGAGAACAAATCAAATCACATCTTGATTCAGACTTAAAGAATCATGTAACTATCCAATAGGAATCCATTGCATAGCAATGTCATATACTTTCAAACAAATATTAATAAATAACCATTGGGTATATCTTAAAACTATTATACACATATGGAAATGGAAATGTCTGTACTATTATTTTCTATTTCAAATACCCTCAAGGTAGTTTTTACTAGATGATACATGTATACTTTGTTTAGGGATATGTATGATTTTAGTAAATAAATTTAATAACGTGTGGGTGTTTAAAATATTGTTAATTTGACGACTCCAAAAACAGCAGTTGCAACCAGGAATTATGATTGGGTTTATTCTTTCCCATCTAAGGTATTATTAACATATGCACATAACACAGAGAATAGAATATAAGAAATTAATGGCAAGGAAATAATGTACTTTATATTGTCTTGTTAACTGAATCTTTTAGATAATTGTTGACATCCTTTTCCTTTTTTACCCAGGGGAATAAATCACTTCAAAATGTGTGTGAATCTGATTCCAGTTCTGAAATAATAATAACCATCATGTTTAATATTCTTAAAACGTTTACTTGGTGCCAAGTAACGTGCTAATCAATTTGCATAAGTCATGCCATTTAATTCTCAAACATGACTGTGAGAAATAGGGTTAATATCCCCATTTTACAAATTATTCCATAATTTATGAATTGTAGAGAGCAAGAGACTTGCCGAAGGTCACACAGCTGGTGAGTGTTCACGTGGGAATGGTTCTCTTAACCACACGTCTACATTATTGTATTTCCTTCCGATGTGGTAGTGAGCTCAGGTTAAAATCTGTTTTACTTATCTTATACCCGTGGTTGACCATCTTCATGTCAGTCACAGAAAATCTTCCCCTGAATATTTTCTAAAATATTTATTCACACCGAGACATCTTATTTTAATGATCTAATACATCCAGCTGCAATGTAGTGTCAGGCTTACTTTAGTATTTCAGAGGTTTCTATACTTAGGGCAGGGGTAGTAAAAAGTATTCTTTTTCTCTGAACACCTTATAAAAAAAAAAAAAATACAGACCTAGGATTTAAGGTGGTGTGGGAGCCAGCTTCCACAGTATTTTGTCTGATAACCGAAAATGTTATATTTCCTCCTGCCTTATGAGGCCAGTGGCAAAGGCCTTCCAAACAGTTACCGGTTCTGGGCAGAAGGGATTTGAGGTCAAACCTAGGACCCGGGATCCTGGGGAGGCCTAATAGCTCTATTTCTAGTGTTGCAGTCTGGTACATTTTGCTTTTTCTGTCAATTTTAAATGGCAGGAAGCCCTGACCTAATTGAAGAAGTGGTACTGATTCTTTTCAACAGACATGTTTTTACTTTTTTTCAACGAAATGTGAACCAAATGAGAAAAAGAGTGCTCTCATTAATTCAGTGTGGCTCTTTATCATTTACAAAATAAATTGGGGTAAGGGAAAAGAAGATACCAGTAAAAATGATGATCTAGCCGATAAGCTTCAGCTGAAATCTAGAATTAAGTGATCTTTTTAAATGTATTTCCATGGCTCAGATATAGACGCTGAAAGTATATTTTAATGTTAACATGCTGTGAAACATGGTTATCAGTTTGCAACAATAAACATACAGGTTGCAATTAAACATGATTTTACCCAAATGTGTGTATCTATACTTAGATATTTATGTAGACTATTTACACTCACTAAATTAGCCCTTCTTTCTAATTTCCCTGTATGAAATACAGACCATCTTATTATGAACTATACTAGCACACCCAAAGGGCTACCGCTTCCTTTGTAATTGGTATTGAAATAAAGGTTTAGTTTGGGAAAAGGAAAGAACTGTGATGTAAGTAATAGAGTAATATTTGTACTTTAACCTAGACACTGACTTTTTTTTTTAATTTGGATTACTTAGACAAATTCTTTTATCCAGGCTGGAGGGCTAGTTTAACATCTCAGTGTAGTGAGAGGCATGGTAAGTATACTAAAACAAAATAAAATAGTTACCAAAATATTTGAGTCATAAATGTTTGGCACTCTGCGGGGACTTAGAGATAGTTTGCCCCAGCTACTCTGACAGATCACAAAGATGACATACTCTTTCCTGTGATCTGTGCAGAAGTAGGACCCAGGTTAGCATGGCGAATGCTCACATATGGACATGTGTCTGAAGTCACTGACACCTCATAGCTGTGTGTGACTGAACTTTACCGAACCTCATTTTCTGAAGTTTTAAAATGAGTGAGCGATACCTCCTTAGCTGGTTGTGGCATAATATGGGAAAACATTGTTCTCTTGCATAACACCTAAGAGGTAGCCAATGAATGCTATTTTCTTTCCCTCTCTTTTATCTGAGCACAAATTCATTCTTTTTGAGCATTTTAGTTCATTCTCTATAATATGTTCATGTAACTCATAATACTGATTGTTATCCACATTCTATGTAAGACTGAACTGAAATATAACATTTTTAGTTATCAGACAAAATACTGTGGAAGCTGGCTCCCACACCACCTTAAATCCTAGGCCTGTATTTTTATTTATAAGGTGTTCAGAGAAAAAGAACACTTTCTACTACCCGTGCCCTAAGTATAGAGTATTTTACATATACTCAAACCAGGGAGATTTGAAAAGAGCATGCTCCAGGGTAGATCCAACCACAGCATGCATTCAAACCAAGCTACTGCCGTCAACCATAGACTCCCCAAAGGTACATTTTGCATCATTTTTCCATAAGATCAGAGGACCCAACCAACACCCATCAGGAGTAAAATATATATATGAGAGAGACACTCTATTTAATAGTCATATAAGTAGGACACTATCTAATTTTCTTCTGTGGCAGTTTTCATTTATCAGCAACTCATGTGTAACCCAGATTCATCTATTTTCCTTCAAAGTCTTTGCACATTTGTTAAACCCATCAATCTAAGCAGGAAAATGCAGATTTATTCAGAGTT